ATAATCTAAACTTTAAAAATAAAATTTTCATTTACTTTTCTTCACAGAAATAAACCAAATTCTGAGATATAGGCCAACTGTTGAAACGTAGGCCTATGTAATGTTCTCCAGGGGGATAAACATATCATATAACTCTTATGCAATCAATTACAGCAACATGCAAAGTTTGTTGTAAGTTACAGCCTCACCATGAATCAAAACTGTACAATATACTTCACAAAAGTTATATTTATTGCACGACTCTGACTTACAGTAGGTTTGATATTGGTCAATTTGTGTATAGTGATTGACAGGTTTATAACCTGCCACCATATGCAAATATTATCTAGCCTAATGAATAAAACTAATTTGGTGTTTAACAAAAGTAATAAATGACTCACACTGAACAATATACAATGTAAAACCAAATGATGTAAATATTGGACATCTAGTGGTGAGCATAAACAATTCACCTTCAGGAAAACAAGATAATGCATCAATAACAGCATATAGTTACAGAGAATAAAGATATGAGCCAATTTTCATTATTACAATTGAATTTCTAAGATATACAGATTGTAGATTTTGCATTAAGAATACATGGGGAGCCTCTGAGATTACTGGTGATTCTAGACCAAAATATGTTCAATTCAACACTACAGAATTTTTAGTTTGTCTGTTTTTTTAGGCAGAAGGGGCCCAAGAAAATGACTCAAAGCACAGTTAATGATTTTAAAATGACCTTCAATAAAACTATTCACATGGGTTTTAATTACAAGAGAGTGTGGAATAATTCTCTTTCATATTCTTGGGGCTTGGTTAAAAACATTTACACTGTATCTGTATTTCTCAATGCTATTATTTTGTCGATATTTAGATTTTTATAAGCAAACAAGGCCTCTGTATAGTTTAGTGTGCATCTTTACATCCACCTGACACAGGTGTTTAACTGCAAGGGCAGCAGGCTGAGTATTACCAAATGGGATTAAAAGCTTTCACAAATGTGTCAGAACAGAGGACACACTTGATGGCTTTCACTGCATTACTGACATTGATTAATCAGTCTTCATAATCCTCTTGCTTTCACTGACAGGGAGAAGATAGGCAGGGAGAAATTGGCAAGTTGGAGCTCCTGTTAGGAGGGTGATACCTGAGGTGTGAAGTAATGTTTGTATGAACTGTAATTGCATTAGAAAAGAAGCAATAAGTGACACCACTCCAATTAGTAAATTCAAACTTTAATAGGTCATCTGTTATATTATGGGTTAGTCCTGTTGCACAGCAGAGCATGCCTCATGTCTCTCTACAGTCAGCTTAACATCCTTGTTTTTGTAAGACCAAAAATAATTTTTGTACTCTCCATCGTGAATTACTGTTCACTCAGTGACCGATTGGTGATTTTTTTATAAATTGCTTTTGATTCAGACTCGTGAGAATGCAATTAGCAATTCATATCACTTTCAAAAGCAATGAAGTGATTTTGTGTATTTGTGGTAATGTAAACAAATAAAACAATGAATGGTTAATGATTCATGTTAATAACAGGGAAAAAATAAAAAAATAAAGAATGTGTTCAGTGATTTTATACATATTGTTGATTTTAGGTATTGACAAATATTTCAAAAACAGTAGTAATCATGGGTTTACAATATTACAGTATCTTTTCGGATACATAGTTTCATATGGTATAAGGTTAACAGAGGTGGAATCAGTTCAACATATGGAATTTGAATGGGAAAGTACAGTAATAAAGTGTGATGGTCATCTGACAATAAAAAACACTATCCCTAAATCTGTGAAATTCATAGAAATGTGTAATTAACACTCTGTTTTTAAATTTAAATAATCATTTATTAGTTGCCCTCTGTGTGTAAAAATTATTTACATGTGTGTACATCATTTGTAGTTTAGGCGGTAGCTGGGGCAGGAGCTGGGGTGCCCTCTTCCACCTGGTTTGTAAGCAGGAGGAAATTCAGCACGGGGTTGAGGTACTCCATGATGGTCTCTTTCACCCCTTTCTCCAGCAAGTACCCTTCTGTCTCAATCTCTGTGTTTTCATTCCCTTCCAGTGCCTCCATGGAGGTCTGCAGGAACCGCAGGCTCACCAGCACAGAGCCCTGGGAGGGAGGGAGGAAGGTGGAGAAATGGGGGAGCGAGTTAGATGTAGAACAGATTCCATTAGAAAGCAGCATCAAGGATCCATAGAGTACCATACCGTGATTGAAGGAAAATTGTGAACATCGGATAAAACAAATGAATGACGAATTAATTGATGTTCACTCTCAATCAAGTCAGGATTCTTATTAATGAAATCTTTGAATTGTTCAACTCCTTGTGTACGCTTGCTATATATACAGAATGGTGGGATATCGCAGCATTCCTCATAACATCTAACATCATAGCCCTCCGTTTGCGTTGGCAACACTGCTATCTAGCAGTTACAGGTTTGACCACCGAAATCAATACAGTGTTGCTGAGAATTGATCACAAAACAAAATATCACGACACTCAAGTCAATATTTTCTTACACCCCTACCTGTAAGAGGAAGACTGACAGTACTCCAGCACCAATGGTGTTCATCAGGCCCATGTAGTAGTGGACCAGGGCCTCTCTGCAGCCTCGGAGGTAGATGTTGAGCTCCTCGGTCTGGTAGTCATAGTTATAGTGAGCCGAGTTGTTGGTGAGCTGATACTGGATGCATGGCCGTGGAGAGCTGGGGTTGCAGCAACTGAATGGGACTCCATCAACCAAGTAACGGCCATCCACGTTGCTCTTGATGCGACTAATGAAAGAAGGAGAAGATATGTTTCGCACTACTAACATGTTTATTTATAACTGTTTATCTGCACTGTAATCATGTGTGAACTTACTCTTTGACTTCCTTAGAGCTGAAATCAAGGTAGCGGTTGCTGATCCACTGGACCTCAAACCAGTCTGTGAAGTCAGTGTTTCCACAGCACTGAAACTCCATCTGCATGCGATCGATGTTCTGTTTCTGGAAGCAGCGGCCTGGGGTGTCTGTGTCCTTGTAGAAGCGGATGCCGTTTCTCAGGCCAACCTTCAGAGAAGACTCCAGACTGCCCTTCATTGCATAGCTCATGATGACAGCTAGCAGCATGAGGACGGTGAAGAAACAAGAGACGGCAAAATAGGGCTTCAAGAAGTTCTTCCAGCGAGGAAATTTCCCGGCTTCCAGAGCATCCTGACAGATCTTTGAAGCAAAGTAGTTGATACCCAAGGAGGCCAGACCAACAATCATGAGGGTATTGGGCACGATATGTATGTCTGAGTTATCCATGACCTGTAAGTAAGTCACACAAACTAATTATTAAACAGCTGTTATTTGCTGATAATGAGTAAAATATCCAGACCTGACTGCAATTATAGGTGTTTTGTGCCTCATTTTATAAACATATCAAACTTCAGCCTGACTTTACAATCTTAAATTTAAAGTTCACTGGGTTTGTAAATGTGCCTTTAATGTGTCTTAAACACACGATATGTACACATCATCTCCTGTGCGTGTGAGTTAATGTGAGGGTGGGATCATGAGGATAGAAGTAGATCCTGAGAGTCTGTCACATGATCTTTTTACATGTTTTTTGTCTTCCTTGTTTTGGAATATTTAGCTTTTTATATATGCATCTATTATCTGTTATTAGATGTACATGTTACTTTGTTTGCTATCGTTTGTGTGATTTTTCTTAAGGAAACAAACAATTAAAAGCACGATTAAAAACGTTCTGTTGGTTTGAACAATGTTTGACCTCCCGATGTGTGTGTTGATGAACTCTTGAAGATTCAAAAGATTCAAGAGTTCAACCTTTATTTATAAAAGAGAGTTCTCCTAAATGCACGTATAATGATTTTAATCATCAGCATTACAGTCAGTGAGCTTCTTATCAGAGTCTACTGAGCAGCTCACTTCAAGCTGTTGAGGCTCAGCTGTGTTGCTCAAGGGCACCTACAGTGACTGCAGTTGCTGAAGAAGGGTAGGGCACATGTCATCCACATGCGCAGTCCAGATTTCACCCGCATCATTCAAAAGTATATTTAGACAAACAAGTGAATAAACCTTAAGATATGAAAACCCAGTTATGATATGTCTCCTGTTAATGTAGAATTGCCCAGTGAGATTATAGAATATATGAGACTCTGTATTGTGTGCAAAAGAAAAACTAGCATATTCCACTGGTTTCTGCAGAGGGCCATCGGACAAGCCAGAAATCTAGAAAATCTCACGCAAAGAGACATCTGGTTGATTTTAGCAAAGGGGAAATTCAATGGTTGAACAAGCGTGCATAGTGTAGGGAGGACAGTATTGCACAGAATCTGGTGGACTTTTATGCATGCTTTACATTCAATTACATTGATTACATTGATTTTCCTTCAGTGCAAAAATAATGACAGAATCATAGATTCTGTAATGCATTTATTAACTTATTCTGTCTTTCATTTATTTTTTCTTTTCCTGTTCATATTATGTATGTATCCATTTATACTTTTTATACAGCCATGCAAACAGGCTGAAAAGGGGCTCTTTTTGTCACAAAATTCTTGTAATTGAAAATAAATATTAAG